AGTAGGTACAGCTGCAAGTCGTCGAGCCACGTGTCAAACTGAACCGGTGTACCCTCATGGTCGAATGCGAGAACTTGAAGCGAGGCCATAGTGGCACAGTATGCAGGAGCAGCAGTAGCAGCAGTAGCAGCAGTTGCAGCAGTAGGAGTTGCCGCAGTAGCAGAAGCGGCCTGGGGGCCGAGGGGCCAAAACACGAGGAGTGAGGGCCGAGGGGCCAAGGCTAGGGGCCGAGGGGCCTGGGGGAGTAGGGGCCTTGGGGCCGAGGTGCCTAGGGGCCGAGGGGCCTGGGTCGCGGGTCACGGGGCGCGGGTCGTGACTGGCCTAGAGGTACGACGGGCAGGAACGGGGCCGTGGGGTGCGACGGGCCTAGGTGCGCGACGGGGCCGAGGGGCACTACGGGTTAGGAAACGGGGTTGTGGGGGGGGGGGGCGCGACGGGCCTAGGAAAAGGGGCCGAGGGGCGCGACGGGCTAGGAAACAAGGCCGTGGGGGCGCGACGGGCCTAGGAAACGGGGCCGAGGGGCGCGACGGGCCTAGGGGCGCGATGGGGACGAGGGGCGCGACGGGGCCGAGGGGCGCGACGGGCCTAGGAACGGGGCCATGGGGGGCGCGATGGGCTAGGAAACGGGGCCGTGGGGCGTGACGGGCTAGGAAACGAGGCCGTTGGGGCGCGACGGGCCTAGGAAACGGGGCCGAGGGGCGCGACAGGCCTAGGGGCGCGAGGGGCCGAGGGGCGCGACGGGCTAGGAAACGGGGCCGTCGGGGGTGCGACGGGCCTAGGAAATGGGGCCGAGGGGTGCGACGGGCCTAGGGGCGCTACGGGGCCGAGGGGCGCGACGGGGCCGAGGGGCGCTGCGGGCCTAGGAACGGGGCCGTGGGGGGGGGGCGCGACGGGCCTAAGGGGCGCGACGGGCCTAGAGGCGCGACGGGGCCAAGGGGCGCGACGGGCTAGGAAACGGGGCCGTGGGGGCGCGACGGGCCTAGGGGCGCGATGGGGCCGAGGGGCACGACGGGCTAGGAACGGGGCCGTGGGGGGAGGGGGGGGGGGGGGCGCGACGGGCCTAGGGGTGCGACGGGCCTAGGGGCGCGACGGGCCAACGGGCCGGTTCCTAGGGTCTACTCGTAGGGCAGCAGGTGGTGGGCCCAAGGAAAGAAAAGCGGTCCTAGCGAGGGACCTGCACTGAAACCATGTTGAAAGCAAAGAACGAGAATGAATGGACTATGAAACAGTTGTGTACAAGTACTAACCCTAATTGGGTTGTACCCCTTATGGGCTACCCCACTATAGCCTACAAAAATGTAAGCACTATAGCATTATGACACCATCTCCCTCAGTAACTGATAGCTGATGGGATGGGGGAAAAGGCGGAGGTGGCCAGGGGGGAGAGAGGAGGCCAGGGGGGAGAGAGGATGACAGGGGGAGGAGAGGAGGACAGGGGGGAGAAAGGAGGACAAGGGGGAGAGAGGAGGCCAAGGGGGAGAGAGGATGATAGGGGGGAGTGAGGAGGACAGGGGGGAGAGAGGATGACAGGAGGTAGAGAGGAGGCCAGGGGGGAGAGAGGAGGCCATGGATATGCTCTCAGTGCTTGGGTTGTGGAGTGTGGCCTTGAAATCCCGCGTGGTTGTGTGGGGGAAACATTGTTTTTCCGCTTCCCCCTGGTTTCTCCCCCAACCCAACCCCCTCACGAAATGGGTTGGTTTTTTAGAACGTTGTGTATTCCTCGCCCAGGTGTTTCTTGCTTGCGCTCACTTCGTTCCCCAATCATCTTGTGTTGTGGGGTGTGTTCGACCCTAACCCCCAAAAAACCCCTTCTAGAATGTAGACCGTAGCTTTAAGGAAGGAACCAAGAACCCCGGTTTACTGTAGCCATCCGAGCTGATGCGCCTGCAGAACACAGCAAGGCCCGGTTCGGTAGCCAGGGAGAAGCAAAATGTTCGGAAGATGAGGGGAAGGTGAAGCGGGCGTCAAACCAGGGTCAACGAATTTCGACCCTGGTTTGACCGCTCCGCGGACGACCTGCGCCGTGGGGGAGCTGGCGCAGGTTGGAGGGGGGAGATATGAAAAATCGGCGCAGGTCCAGGCACATTTGCCCTCAATTTCTTCTGTCCCATACCACTGTAGCAAAGCGAGAAAAGCCTGCCCAAAGAAAAAAAGGGGAGGGCGCCCCACTCTATTGGGGAAACCCAACAATCAAAATCCTTTCAATCATGCTTCTTGTGTGAGTAACCCTTGCCTCCTTAGGGATGTTTGTTGTTGTCAGAATCCCAACCGTCAGAATCCCAACCACTAGACCATTGGGATAAAAGGGCTTGTTAAGTAGCGGGTCAGAGTGTGCCCATAACCCCCCAGGAAAACGCGCCTGTAACCCCCTTAGGATCAATTGGGCATCCACAGTGCAGATCTACTAACACCCCCCCACACTGGGAGGCCCAGGATTGAGCACTGCGGCAACGGCCTACATGTGCATACACCGGGATTCGAACCTGAGACCACTCTGACACCATGTCAGAATCCCAGTCACTAAACCATTGGGATAGAAGGGCTTGTTAAGTAGCGGGTCAGAGTGCGCCAATAACCCCCCAGGCGAACGCGCCTATAACCCCCCTAGGATCAATCGGGCATCCACAGTGCAGATCTACTGACACCCCCCCACACTGGGAGGCCCAGGACTGAGCACGGCGGCAACGGCCTACATGTGCATACACCGGGATTCGAACCCGAGACCACTCTGACACCATGTCAGAATCCCAGTCACTAGACCATTGGGATAGAAGGGCTTTTTAAGTAGCGGGTCAGTGCGCCCATAACCCCCCACGACAACGAGCCTGTAACCCTTCCCTTGGATCAATCGGGGATCACCAGTGGACCTCTGACACCCCCCCGCACTAGGATGCCCGAAGTTCACACACTGGGATTCGAACCCGAGACCTTTGCTCTGATACCATGTCAGAATCCCAACCACTGGACCATTGGGATAAAAGGGCTTTTTAAGTAGCGGGTCAGAGTGCGCCCATAACCCCCCAGGCAAACGCGTCTGTAACCCCCTTAGGATCAATCGGGCATCCACAGTGCAAATCTACTGACAGTTGTCCCGTGAACAGTGCATTTCTTGGAATCATAATTTTGATTCTTGTGTTTGAAAATAGTCACCTTTTTCTTCCGTCTCACTAGGGCGGAAGCTTTCCGCCATTGGGGGGGGAAGAAGGACAGACGAATACATCTCAACTGACAGCCGACTCCGCCTGGCGGGGCTCACTGCCTGCGGGCAAAAAAAATAAACCCCCTAGGGTATGCCATCCGGTCAGGGATGGACCAACCCTAAACGGGCAGGGCAGCGAGTTTAGGGTTGATGCCTCCCTCTGATGGCATGCCATCCGATAGGGTTTTAGTTTTTTTGGCTGCCCCGATGTCGGTCGACGTCGGTACGTCGGTCCCACCTGCCCCCAGACTGACGTTACCTGAGGAATCCCATGAGATGTACAGAAGACGGCGTGGAATCAATTTTAGGTGGTGTTCGCGTCGATGCTGTAAAACACCTGCGCCTCGGTTTCCGAAAATTTAAGCCTACAACCCGCACTGGCTGCGTTCTGCAGGCGCATCAGCCCGCATCAATGTACATTGCTACATTTTACCATGGTTCCAGGATTCTTCCTTGATAACCTGCCGGCATGTTATCAAGGCTCGCGATAAGCGCGGGGCTGCCGAAGCAAAACAAAACCGAAGCAAATTAAGCGATATCTGACTTCCGAGAAACCTGTAACATTCAGGCCCAGTTCGGCAGCCATGGAAGAAGGACGGAAGAAAAAATTGATGCTTCTTCTATGAAGCTTCCAATCGCATTATCGAGGGCTGTACAATGCGGGTTGTAGGGTTAAAATTTCGGAAACCGAGGCGCATGTGTTTTACAGCAGTGACGCGAACACCAACTAAAATTGATTCCACGCCGTCTTCTGTCCTTATTCTCCCCCCCCTGGCGGAAAGGTTCCGCCCTAGTGATTATGTCACAACACAAGAATCAACTTTTTGATTCCACAAGAATCACTGTTCACGGGACAACATTGTACCCTACGAAGGAAAGGGTTAATGCGAAAAAAAAACCCTACTCCAATATTGTACGGCAAATGTGCCTGAGAATTTTTTTTTGGGGCGGGGCTTTTTCGCTTTGCTAGAGTGCTCTGGGACATTCGAATGTGAGGCAAATGTGCCTGGGCGTGCGGCGTTTTTTCCTATCTCCCCCCTCCAACCTGCGCCAGCTCCCCCATGGTGCAGGTTGTCCGCAGAGCGGTCAAACGAGGGTCAAAATTCGTTGACCCTGGGTTGACGCGCCCCTCACCTTCCCCTCACCTTCCTAACATTTTGCTTCTCACTGGCTGCCGAACTGGGCCTCAGAATGTTGAAATTCGTCAGGAAATTGAATGTCCAATTTCCTAACCTGAATTCAATCTCGTCGGATTTTCCAAACCTCAATTCCAAATGTCCGAACCTCAATTTCTCAATTTCCAAATCGCAATTTCCGAGCCTCAATTTCTCAATGTGCGCATCAGGCCGAGCCTCAGACGCATCAGAGCTGATGCGCCTGCAGAACGCAGCCACTGTACAGCCCTCGATAATGCGTTTGGAAGCTTCATGGAAGAAGCCTCACACTTTTCTTCCGTCCTTCTTCCGTGGCTGCCGAAATGAGCCCAAATGTCAAGAAATTGGAGATTGAAATGTCGAGGACGAATTTCCAACCCGAACCTCAGTGTCTCAATGTCCGCATCAGGCCGAGCCTCTGGCGCATCAGGCTGATGCGCCTGCAGAACACGGCCTCCACTAGCCTAGTTATATTCCACTAACTCAAAACGGCATTGCGCTGGTACGAGCGAGAAGAGTCCAATATATTTTCGAGAAACTCTTAGTGAACAGTGATTTTTCGTGAACTCAGAGCTGTTGAATCCCCGTCGACTCGAAATCTCTTAGCCCGCAAGCGAGGTCAAGATCTGGGCCGTTCTCCCGTCACCATGCCGCGCAAGCCGGTTGCTAACTTCCTGTCGTGGGCGTCGAATGTGCTCGAGGCTGTCGACCAATCAGCGGCGAGCTTGAGCGACTCCACAAACCCCCATCGCAGGTGCGTGCAGCTTCGCGTCGTTCGTTCCAACTGCCAGCGCCCTCTCGCTTCGCTCGCCGTAACCGCGCCTCATGCCAAGGACTAGCATCCCCCAGTCGCCATGCCTCTCAGCAGAGCCTCGCGTCGTGCCTCTGCTGCCGCCCATGCGGAGCGCCGCTGACAGCACACCGTGTCTCCTGCCGCCGTGCCTCCCCGCACCCTCCCCTCCCCCCTCGCCCCCCCCCCCCCCCCCTCTTCCCTCCCCCCTCTCCCCTCCCCCCTCCCCGCAGGAAGCACCGGCGTGAGTGGGGCGCGGCGACGGACGGGCAGCTGTCGGACTCGCCGTGGGTGGACGCGAGCGACGGCGACGCCAGCAGCGCCGGGTACGCCAGCGACCACCTCCTAACGCTGGGGGGATGCCGCGCCTGGGAAGGCCCGGAGGGGCGACGTGCAGTGGCGGGCGGAGGAGGGCTGGAGTCGGGGGGTGAGCGCGGGGAGGGGCGGGTGGGGGACAGAAAGGTGCTGGGCGGAGTGGTGGAGGGGGAGGGGGAGCGGGGCGGTTGGGGCACGCATGGCAGTGGTGGGGGTGTGGGGGCGAGTGGTGGGAGCGCGAGTGGGCAGGGGCTTGCGAGCAGCAGCAGCCTGGGCGGTGAGGGGCGTGGAGGTGGAGAACAGCAGGACGCAGAGGAGGGCAGTGCGCGTGCAGGCGGGGGGCATGCGACAGGCAGTGGCAGCAGCGGTGGTGCTTTGAGGCGTGCAAGGGAGGGTGGCGCTGCTGCTGCGGGCGGCAAGTGGGGTGGCGAGGGAAGCGCATTGAGCGGCAGGGGCGAGTGGCATGCACATGAGTTCGAGGCGTGGGGCGGCGAGTGGGAGATGCAGGGAATGGGGGACGAAGGAGGGGAGGGAGGTGGTGGTGAGGAGGCGACAGAGGATAGTGGGGGGGTGCAGGGGAAGGGTAGAGGAGAGGAATCACTAAGCAAGGAAAGTCCAAATGGAGAAACGGGAGAACTGGCAGATGATAGGGATGAGGGGGTTGGCGCAGCAGTGGCAGAAGGGCGAGGTGAAGTTGGGGGAAGCAGCAGGAGCGCAAGTGGCAGAAGCGGAGGTGCCAGTGAGGCCACTCTCCCAAGCAGCGCGAGCAGCAGCGATGGCAAAGCTGCTGTGAGTGCGAAGAGCAGCAGCACAGCTGCAGAGGAGCCCGGTGATGCAGAGAGTGACAGCGCGACTGCACTGCAGTCCACAAGTCTCGCCAGCATGGCGGGCAGCAGCAGCAGCAGCAGCAGCAGCAGGCGGGGGGTGTTGGGATCACAGGTGCCACGGGTGCTGGCGGTGGCGCGCAGCCCGTCGGTGGAGATGGACGCCATGCGCTCGTGGCGACGGCACATGGAGGCACACGCGTGGACCAGCACTGCCATGCGCTCTGAGTTTGACCAGGCCAGCCGCGAGTGCAGCCAGATGGAGGCGCGGGTGGGTGCCGGCAGATTGAGGAGTTGGTTGAGCAAGTAATTGCAAATGTTGCTGGAAGCAGATATCGTGTTCTCCCTCTCATCATCCTGAAAGGCCTCCTCCTGCCTCTCCTCCTTCACTCCCTCCAGGTGTCAGTGGTGGTGGGCGAGATAGAGCGGCTGCAGCAGGCAGCGCAGCACATGGCTGACAGGGCGGCCCAGGAGATCGGCAGCCTGCATGCTGAGCTGGCAGCTGCCACGTCAGCACTGGAGCAGGAGAGATCCAAACATGCTGCGACACGCCATGAGGTGGATGCATGGGATGGCGTGAAAGGATGGGATGAGTGTATAGGAGGAGACAGGCATGGGTGTGATGGAGACAGGAATGGATGTGATGGAGAGGGGGATGGGTGTGATGGAGAGGGGGATGGGTGTGATGGAGAGGGGGATGGGTTTAAATATATAATATTGTGTAAAGGATGGGATTCAAATATCAATGGGTGCTGCTTGGCTGGACTAAGTAAGTGAGTGGTTTATTCCATGTGCATGTGTGTGTATATCCGCGCACATCCCTATGCGTCCCATTCGTGTGTGTGTGTGTGGTTTGTGCAGTACCACCGTCGTGTGGTACTGGGATGGGACCAGTGGGCCTGCTGTGTTGACTGTAAGCACTCCTTGTGCTTCGTCCCGCTTCCGCCCCCCTAGCGTCTCTTCCGTCGCCAGCATCGCCGTAAAAACATCAGCGCGTGCTTAAAGGCGACGCTGGTCGTGGTGCATGGGCATTTTCTTCCGCGGACTTACTGCCCGACCTACTGATTGTGCAGCTAACAGCTGCCATACAGTTCTCCCCGTGGCGCCATTAGCTGCGTGATCAGTACGTCGAGCAGTAGGTCCGCGGAAGGAAATGCCATGAGCCACGAGCAGCGCCGCCTTCAGCGAGCACTTGCTTCCATGGCGATGCTGGCAGGGAAGAAACACAGAGAGGCGGAAGCAGGTTGAGACACGAGGAGTGCTTACGGTCAACACAGCAGGTCCACAAATCCCGATTTTGATGTGCATGTGTCCCATTTGTTGACTCATAGTGAACACATGTCTGTGGTTGCTTTGCTCCTGTGTGATGCAAGACCATCCATGGCATTTCTCGTGGGTCTTATGCTACTTGCACCACTTGTACATAGGCGTGAGTGATTACAATCTTAACCCAACCAGTATGCACTTGTGTTATCAACTCATGTGCCCCATTGCTTGCCCCATCCATGCCGATCCTTCTTTTTCCATGTTTCGCTCTGTATCGCCTGCGACTCATTTCCCTCGCTTGTGGCAGGCGGAGGAGAGGCAGGGGGCGCTGAGGGAGGAGCAGGCAGGGCAGGAGAGGGCAGTGGCGCGCATTCGGAGGCAGATGGAGGAGCGTGTGGCGGAGCACACGCGGGTCACTCGCTGCATTCAGGTGAGGCGGGAGGCTGTTGCGGGCAGGAAATGTAAAACTTCGGTGGATCCATGATTGAGATGAGAGGGGAGAAGGGTGTGAAGGTGCAGAGCGAGGCAAGGGGATGGGAGGGGAGGCAAGCAAGCAAGTGTCTGTGTTTGCGGCGGCTGCAAACATTGAGAGGCACGGATCGCCCGGTAGCATTGAGGAGCACAGGGCGCATGGCATGAGTGGCGAAAGAATTGTGATTGAAACAAGCTCCAATGGGGAGGTAATGATGATGCGGTATCTTCTTACGCTCGAGCGAGGTGTCCGCTCAGCATCTTCACCTTTGACAACGCAACCAGTTGTTGCGAAAATATATTTCTATATATTTTATTTATAATTGTCAATAGGATTTAACTAGTGTAGTTTAGCTTTCAGTTGGTGGTTCGCCTCTTCTCCTGTTCTCATTTTCTATATCTTGTACTTCTCCCAATATTGAAGTTCCTTCGTCTCGATCTTCCTTTCGTTACTCTCACTAGCTCACCAAAACCCAATCTCCTAGCTAGCTACTATCATGACAGCTACCTCTTACCCGAGATTCTCAACATTCGATAGAGAGAGAACAGGCCTTCAAGCGAGGTGTCCCCTCAGCAAGTTCTCTTAACTTTCATTTTTGCTTTTGCGAGCTAGATTTGTGATATAGGTTACAGCACGTGCTACGGGAGTTGTTATCCTCGGCACGTGTGGGGGCAGTTGTTATCCTCGGCACGTGTGGGGGCAATTGTTATCCTCGGCACGTGTGGGGGCAATTGTTATCCTCGGCACGTGTGGGGGCAATTGTTATCCTCGGCACGTGTGGGGGCAGTTGTTATCCTCGGCACGTGTGGGGGCAGTTGTTATCCTCGGCACGTGTGGGGGCAATTGTTATCCTCGGCACGTGTGGGGGCAGTTGTTATCCTCGACACGTGTGGGGGCAATTGTTATCCTCGGCACGTGTGGGGGCAATTGTTATCCTCGGCACGTGTGGGGGCAGTTGTTATCCTCGGCACGTGTGGGGGCAATTGTTATCCTCGGCACGTGTGGGGGCAGTTGTTATCCTCGACACGTGTGGGGGCAATTGTTATCCTCGGCACGTGTGGGGGCAGTTGTTATCCTCGGCACGTGTGGGGGCAGTTGTTATCCTCGGCACGTGTGGGGGCAATTGTTATCCTCGGCACGTGTGGGGGCAGTTGTTATCCTCGACACGTGTGGGGGCAGTTGTTATCCTCGACACGTGTGGGGGCAGTTGTTATCCTCGACACGTGTGGGGGCAGTTGTTATCCTCGGCACGTGTGGGGGCAATTGTTATCCTCGGCACGTGTGGGGGCAGTTGTTATCCTCGGCACGTGTGGGGGCAGTTGTTGTCCTCGGCACGTGTGGGGGCAGTTGTTATCCTCGGCACGTGTGGGGGCAATTGTTATCCTCGGCACGTGTGGGGGCAGTTGTTATCCTCGGCACGTGTGGGGGCAGTTGTTATCCTCGGCACGTGTGGGGGCAATTGTTATCCTCGGCACGTGTGGGGGCAGTTGTTATCCTCGGCACGTGTGGGGGCAGTTGTTATCCTCGGCACGTGTGGGGGCAGTTGTTATCCTCGGCACGTGTGGGGGCAGTTGTTATCCTCGGCACGTGTGGGGGCAGTTGTTATCCTCGGCACGTGTGGGGGCAGTTGTTATCCTCGGCACGTGTGGGGGCAATTGTTATCCTCGGCACGTGTGGGGGCAATTGTTATCCTCGGCACGTGAGGGGGCAGTTGTTATCCTCGGCACGTGTGGGGGCAATTGTTATCCTCGGCACGTGTGGGGGCAGTTGTTATCCTCGACACGTGTGGGGGCAATTGTTATCCTCGGCACGTGTGGGGGCAGTTGTTATCCTCGGCACGTGTGGGGGCAATTGTTATCCTCGGCACGTGTGGGGGCAGTTGTTATCCTCGACACGTGTGGGGGCAGTTGTTATCCTCGGAACGTGTGGGGGCAGTTGTTATCCTCGGCACGTGTGGGGGCAGTTGTTATCCTCGGCACGTGTGGGGGCAGTTGTTATCCTCGGCACGTGTGGGGGCAATTGTTATCCTCGGCACGTGTGGGGGCAATTGTTATCCTCGGCACGTGTGGGGGCAATTGTTATCCTCGACACGTGTGGGGGCAGTTGTTATCCTCGGCACGTGTGGGGGCAGTTGTTATCCTCGGCACGTGTGGGGGCAATTGTTATCCTCGGCACGTGTGGGGGCAATTGTTATCCTCGGCACGTGTGGGGGCAGTTGTTATCCTCGGCACGTGTGGGGGCAATTGTTATCCTCGGCACGTGTGGGGGCAGTTGTTATCCTCGGCACGTGTGGGGGCAATTGTTATCCTCGGCACGTGTGGGGGCAGTTGTTATCCTCGACACGTGTGGGGGCAGTTGTTATCCTCGGAACGTGTGGGGGCAGTTGTTATCCTCGGCACGTGTGGGGGCAGTTGTTATCCTCGGCACGTGTGGGGGCAGTTGTTATCCTCGGCACGTGTGGGGGCAATTGTTATCCTCGGCACGTGTGGGGGCAGTTGTTATCCTCGGCACGTGTGGGGGCAGTTGTTATCCTCGACACGTGTGGGGGCATTTGTTATCCTCGGCACGTGTGGGGGCAGTTGTTATCCTCGACACGTGTGGGGGCAATTGTTATCCTCGGCACGTGTGGGGGCAGTTGTTATCCTCGGCACGTGTGGGGGCAGTTGTTATCCTCGGCACGTGTGGGGGCAGTTGTTATCCTCGGCACGTGTGGGGGCAATTGTTATCCTCGGCACGTGTGGGGGCAGTTGTTATCCTCGGCACGTGTGGGGGCAATTGTTATCCTCGGCACGTGTGGGGGCAGTTGTTATCCTCGGCACGTGTGGGGGCAGTTGTTATCCTCGGCACGTGTGGGGGCAGTTGTTATCCTCGACACGTGTGGGGGCAATTGTTATCCTCGGCACGTGTGGGGGCAGTTGTTATCCTCGACACGTGTGGGGGCAATTGTTATCCTCGGCACGTGTGGGGGCAGTTGTTATCCTCGGCACGTGTGGGGGCAGTTGTTATCCTCGGCACGTGTGGGGGCAATTGTTATCCTCGGCACGTGTGGGGGCAGTTGTTATGCTCGGCACGTGTGGGGGCAGTTGTTATCCTCGGCACGTGTGGGGGCAATTGTTATCCTCGGCACGTGTGGGGGCAGTTGTTATCCTCGGCACGTGTGGGGGCAATTGTTATCCTCGGCACGTGTGGGGGCAGTTGTTATCCTCGACACGTGTGGGGGCAGTTGTTATCCTCGGCACGTGTGGGGGCAATTGTTATCCTCGGCACGTGTGGGGGCAATTGTTATCCTCGGCACGTGTGGGGGCAGTTGTTATCCTCGACACGTGTGGGGGCAGTTGTTATCCTCGGCACGTGTGGGGGCAGTTGTTATCCTCGGCACGTGTGGGGGCAGTTGTTATCCTCGACACGTGTGGGGGCAGTTGTTATCCTCGGCACGTGTGGGGGCAATTGTTATCCTCGACACGTGTGGGGGCAGTTGTTATCCTCGGCACGTGTGGGGGCAGTTGTTATCCTCGGCACGTGTGGGGGCAGTTGTTATCCTCGGCACGTGTGGGGGCAGTTGTTATCCTCGACACGTGTGGGGGCAGTTGTTATCCTCGGCACGTGTGGGGGCAATTGTTATCCTCGGCACGTGTGGGGGCAATTGTTATCCTCGGCACGTGTGGGGGCAGTTGTTATCCTCGGCACGTGTGGGGGCAGTTGTTATCCTCGGCACGTGTGGGGGCAGTTGTTATCCTCGGCACGTGTGGGGGCAGTTGTTATCCTCGACACGTGTGGGGGCAATTGTTATCCTCGGCACGTGTGGGGGCAATTGTTATCCTCAGCACGTGTGGGGGCAATTGTTATCCTCGGCACGTGTGGGGGCAATTGTTATCCTCGGCACGTGTGGGGGCAATTGTTATCCTCAGCACGTGTGGGGGCAATTGTTATCCTCGGCACGTGTGGGGGCAGTTGTTATCCTCGACACGTGTGGGGGCAGTTGTTATCCTCGGAACGTGTGGGGGCAGTTGTTATCCTCGGCACGTGTGGGGGCAGTTGTTATCCTCGGCACGTGTGGGGGCAGTTGTTATCCTCGGCACGTGTGGGGGCAATTGTTATCCTCGGCACGTGTGGGGGCAGTTGTTATCCTCGGCACGTGTGGGGGCAGTTGTTATCCTCGACACGTGTGGGGGCATTTGTTATCCTCGGCACGTGTGGGGGCAGTTGTTATCCTCGACACGTGTGGGGGCAATTGTTATCCTCGGCACGTGTGGGGGCAGTTGTTATCCTCGGCACGTGTGGGGGCAGTTGTTATCCTCGGCACGTGTGGGGGCAGTTGTTATCCTCGGCACGTGTGGGGGCAATTGTTATCCTCGGCACGTGTGGGGGCAGTTGTTATCCTCGGCACGTGTGGGGGCAATTGTTATCCTCGGCACGTGTGGGGGCAGTTGTTATCCTCGGCACGTGTGGGGGCAGTTGTTATCCTCGGCACGTGTGGGGGCAGTTGTTATCCTCGACACGTGTGGGGGCAATTGTTATCCTCGGCACGTGTGGGGGCAGTTGTTATCCTCGACACGTGTGGGGGCAATTGTTATCCTCGGCACGTGTGGGGGCAGTTGTTATCCTCGGCACGTGTGGGGGCAGTTGTTATCCTCGGCACGTGTGGGGGCAATTGTTATCCTCGGCACGTGTGGGGGCAGTTGTTATGCTCGGCACGTGTGGGGGCAGTTGTTATCCTCGGCACGTGTGGGGGCAATTGTTATCCTCGGCACGTGTGGGGGCAGTTGTTATCCTCGGCACGTGTGGGGGCAATTGTTATCCTCGGCACGTGTGGGGGCAGTTGTTATCCTCGGCACGTGTGGGGGCAGTTGTTATCCTCGGCACGTGTGGGGGCAGTTGTTATCCTCGGCACGTGTGGGGGCAGTTGTTATCCTCGGCACCTGTGGGGCAATTGTTATCCTCGGCACGTGTGGGGGCAG